GTGCAGATCTCTTTCAACAGCGTGTGGTAGTGAGGAGCTCAGTGGTGGTTGCACGATTTCCTATTTTTGGCCAGGGCGCCCAAGCAGGAGAGGCGCCATCTGAAGGCTTCTCATCTTACTGTCAAGGTTACTGTTGAAAGGCTAGCCAAACAGTATCCCCTGGGGCAATATCATGACAGCCTGTCACCTCTAATGACCTTCAAAGTGAGTAGAAAAGAATGGGCTCAGAGCTCAGAGCTCAGCTCAGAAGTCAGTGGCTGGTGTGCTATAGCTACTCTCAAGCACACACCATGTACACACACACACACACCTCAGACCTCAGACATGCCCATCGCGGAAGCGATGATAGCGAACAGCTATGTTAGATATAGCAACTTGTGCCGGGATTACACCATTCAACAGCTTGCAAGGCTGATGAATTGACCGCCACTATTTTCTAGCCTGGTATCCACCACACAGCTGATTGAAGTGGCTTTTTCTGGCCAGTGAATCTCTATTTTTAATTTTTCACACGCACACACACACTTGTTGCTTGTACTTGTTGCCCACTGCCAAAACTGGTCGCGTGGGTCTCCCCGGGAGAGGGGAGAGAGACTCAAAAGGAATCTTGGAAAGATGACTCAATTGGCTATTGAACCTCCCAACGGCCGACACCCCTAAAATCCCTCTGGGTGAACTTGAAAATGATCCCACTTATAGGCTCACCACACTTCAGTAAGTGGGTGAGGACAAGGTGCAGAAAAAGGATTGACGGCATCAGGGTATCCATCCTGGGATCCAACTGCAGTTACCCCTGCCCCAGTGAAGGTAATACTTGCTACTAGTGTGGGTGGCTAAATCAGAGTGGATCTGAAATAAGCTTTACTAGCACCATTGATTACACAAGAGTTAATCTAGCCAGAAGCAGTTCATGGTTAACAAGTATGTATACTTCAAATAGAAAGTATATGAACCCTGGAACCAACAAAGGTGGCAGGTACATTACACTTTCAAGTAGCCGAGCCCGTTGGCAACAGACCCAACACAATCAGGCATAAATGTACCCACCAACCGAACTAGCTGGCACACGCGCTTG